CTTCATCATTATCTTCATCATTATCTTCATCTTCATCATTATCTTCATCATTATCTTCATCTTCATCATTATCTTCATCTTCCTCATTATCTTCATCTTCTTCAACTTTGGCATCACCCAAGTCAACTTCAATAACATTATCTTCCACTAAGATAAAACCAAGTTCTGTCTCCTCAATAATCAATCCGACTACATTTCACACTTCCTCAATGTCATCAAGTGTATCATTGCTACTTCCTTCATCAAATTTAATTTCCACTTATTGTCATCCTAATACTACTAGACTAGTTTGCGCCAATTCTTCAAAATGTTGCTCGCCTTTGACCACAGTTTCCTCATTATTTTTATCTTCTCCAACTACTTTGGCATCATCTCCCATGTTATCTTCAACTTTCATTCTAACAATAACACCCAGTTCTGTCTCCTCAATAATCAATCCAGCTACTTCATTTCCATTATCAATTTCATTAACTTCTGATATAACTTTAATCTCATTATCACTTCCTTCAACAACTTCAGTTCCCACACATGCATGCCATCCCCAGACTAATACCACAGATCGTGGTCAGTTTGATTGGCCGCTAACATTAGCTGGAATGACTGTTACCATATTGTGTCCTAGTGGCCCTAATGGAGCTACAGCAAGTAGAATATGCTCTGCTTCTTCTGATTGGGAGTCACCAGATGTGATGAGGTGTGCTACTACTGATGTTACAAATGGATTCATTGAATTATCTAAAGTGTGTAATATGATTGTAATTATAGTTAGATGTATTATGTTTCAGGTAAACATTACAGTTGATAATTTTCATTCAGCAGCCTTCAATATGAGCAGTTTAGTAGAAAATGCAACACATACTCTTGCTGACCAAAACATTGAAAACATCAATGTAATATCAACAGTATTGGAAGTAATAATATCTGTTCTGTTAAAAAGCAAAAGTGCTCAATTAATAATTGAAGTAAGTTTATAGATTGATACTTAGAGTGATTTTGTATGTCGTATAGACAACAAGGTATTTTGTACTTATGCTCAATTCATTAATGGAATGGCCCATAGGTGTAACTAATGTTTTAATCAATGAGTGAGTTGATAAGTTAAAATGATTTATAATGCAATTAATTTTTAGTATAATCCAGTCATTTGAAGAATTCATACGGGTTATATTTAAACAGGAAAATTTTACAGTGATTAAAATTTCTGAAGAAAACATTTTGTTTAGAGCAGAAAGAGTAAGACTATTGCATTTGCTATTTATAATAATTGATTATAATGAAAATAGTTTGCAAAAACTAATTTTAGTGGATTAACCATATTAGCCAGTGCTTTTAGTAAGTATTTGTGCTAACACAAAATCATAGATAAAAATTTATTATATTGATAGATAATGGACTAAATTTTAGTACTTCTGACAATTTGAGTTCTTTGACACCCATTGCAAAGGTGATTTTACCAAAGAATATTAAAAATGTCACAAACAGTGAGAACATTGATGTAGCATCAACTTTATACAAGAAAGCAACCTTCTTTCCAGTTTGTGAAGAAGTGAACTCTCATC